AACTGATTTAGAATATGGCTCTTTGTTAAGTTTATTCTAACCTTCCCTATCTACGAAATTTAATCTTCGAGGAGAAACCAGAGAATTCGAAGGTCATGAATGAAACTTGACCCAACGCTCACACCTAATAGCTTGGCAAGAGTCACACCTGTCCAACTGGCTTTATTTTATCATTTGCGTAAAAAAAGTGTTAGTGCATGTGATATGACAGCAAAGTCGCATTGGACCAACCTTACACGCCCCCGTCCCTTCCCCTACCCCCACCCCCTCCACCTCTCGGTATGCAGGAAAGGTGTATTTCCGAGACCCCAACGCATATGAATCACACGTCGCAGCTTCAGCGCTCTCTCCTCGCTCTTGCCTCTTGTCTCCAAGCTGTTTGGATAATGCATTCATAAATGTGAGTTGAAGGTGCTTCCGGCGCTTCGCATAGTTCACCGAATGGAAAATCACTTAATCTCGTTTGCAAAATCTTAAAAGTGTTACAATTTAGGCGAACTTTCAAAGGGGTGCATATAACGTGAATTCGGCTTATCAAGGTAGATGGTTAGAGTTGGTGCTATTTGAATGCTTAAGACGTCGTACTGTACCCCATACAAAAACGGTGCTATTTGCTCAAGTACCTACAAAAATCTCATATACAACTATCTTATTTATTGGTTTTGAATCATTTAAACGAAAGGCCAAATTGCTCGGTGGGCCTTCTAGCTGCTTTTAATTTGAATGTTCTAGCGTAGACTGCCATAACTGATTCAGCACCCGGGATACGATTTTTTTGGTCTGAGATAGGAGTAAAGGGAGACTACAAGTCTGGTTTTCGGCTTTTATTTTAGCGGTGTTGGTTGACACGTTGGAGTTGCCATTAGCTTGTCCACCTCACTTCTCTCATTTCCAGCCTCCTTCAATGTCATATAATCAAACCCACTGGTTGGTAAGGCATTTGCAAACTGCAACTGAGTGATCGGATCCAGGTAATGCTTGACAAAATACGACAAAGAATAGAAGAAAAAGCAAGTTTCAAGACTTTTCGTTGAAAACTATCCAGCTGTCAGGCTTAAACGGTCTAGTCTTGTTTGAAGAGGCATCAGGAGGCCACTGCAACCACATCCAACTCACCGTTATTCATGACGGAATGTTATAGATGATACCTACTCTTCAGGAAATCCGCATTTTGTATTTGCTGCTCCTTGAATGGGTCAAGTGAAGCTGGAGTAGGAATAATTTGGGTCGAAAGAAATATAAGGAGAGGGAGAGCTCCTCTGGCTTTAGTGGGGAAAAGAAGGCGTAAATTGCCTGCTGCCGACCACACACAGCGCAGTTCGTACCAAAACACTTCTGTACTTCTGACTGTCTAAACAAACTTCTCCTCCTTCCTTCAAGCATAAAGGTCGTTTCTCCTGAACATTAGTATTTCCTATCCGATGAACTTAAAGTTTGTTGATAACTTAGATCTTTAAGTAGTAGGGGCTTACCAAGAGCGTTCAAGTCAAAGCAAAGTTCTTCATTTCGTGAAAGTGAAGAAATAAATTTCAAAGTGGAAACTGCAGTATTTCTCCACCAGGACCTGGAAATACTAAACCAACCGTGGACTTCCAGCAAAAATCTTGAGTGCTTCGATTGGGTGTCAAAGATCAGGTATGCTTGTCAATGACATGCGCACGTTCGGCATTAGAACGTTTACACCACTCAGGTATGCCACCACTGAGTTTTCCATCACTTCACTGGGCTTGAAGTTTTCTGTACGAGTAAATATTTCCGATTTCGGATCTTACACCTATGTTTACATGAGCCTTCGTCACTCACCACATGTCACTTGTCACCTTGATGAGCAGTGGCTGAACTGGTTAATGGCGTTCGCGCCAGCTACTACGAGTAATGGCATTACTTTGTATAAGAACAAAAATAGGATTTTTAATTTGACGTAAACCCCTCTGTACTAAGAGGCTCGAGAATGACTGCTTTTTTCGCATGGAAAAGTTGTTTACATAAGGAGGTGTTGACCAGTTCTCCACCACGCGAATTAATTGTTTACATTATCTACGTGCCAAAAACCAGAAGGTAGTCCTTCGTATGCCTACATATACAAACCAAACAGCCTTCAAGTCATCCAACATGCACGTAGTATTTGCTAGACCACAACAAGGAACCAAAAAACAAACAAGATTTAATGTTCGTACATTTGTCCGAAATTAAAATGGGTATCGAAGACTTGTAAGAAATCCAAATGGGCCAATTCTCCAGGGTCCACCAGCATCTGTTTCCCATACCTCGCACAATCATTCACACCACCTGTATTTCCGTAGCTCTGTCATCCTTTTTTCCCTCCTGGGTGCATAAAAGTAATAGGCTGGACTTCAGCCTACAACTGTCGGTAGGAGGGTGGCAAATAATGCACTCTACGAAGATGGTGCCATTACGCCCACACCGAAACAGCACAGTCTACCAGAGACTAGCATTAATAATACAGCCTTCCTTGGTAAGGCCCACAGGTGCGAGTAGTAAACGCAGGCCACCCTATCCGTCTCAAGGTCAACCGGTCGGGGGGTCGCATAAACCCGCAGATCCACGCAAACATTCGCACACATACAAACACAAAAAAGTCAGATCGAAGTGACCGATACACACATACAAACACAGATATGTACGTATGCACGGACATAAACAACCATGGAGATCGGCTCTGCGTTGATATGACGTTGCCATAGTCACGAAAGCGTAATGCCGTGGTGAAGATGTGGCCAAATTTATGTGGCTAGAGGGGGAACACTTGTCATTGCTGTCGATAGTTTAGTACTTCCCGGAGGGGAAACCGTTACATGACGTCATTGGCATTTGTAATTTTTCTCTCCCAGAGACACTTTAACTTACTGCTAATTAGCCACAGATGGGAGATTGGGGAAGTTTAGCGTCATAATTTTGGGGTCAAAAAACAAGTTTTTCCAAACCTCAGGGTGATGGGAGTCTTTTCTACTTTATAAAATTCCTTTAAAGATTGGATTTCTCCTCTTGAAGACGCGGCTTCCAATCGTTTTAATTTTTTGGTAGTAAATTCCAGTATGCATGCAGGTAGATCAGGACACCGCCTAAATGTTTGGACAGCCAAGTTGCGTTCTAAAAGGCCAGCTGTGTGGAAGATGTGAAATGGGAAGAGCCTGAGAGCTACGTGTACACAGCTAATGGGAAGTAGCAAAGTTGGCAAGAAAATGACACCGGAGTTTTTCGAACAAAATGCCAAGTCTAACGGGGGGGACCAGGCTTCACAGCACCAAATGGGCGACCAACCGAACAAGAGAAAAAAATTCAGTCTTCCCCCTTCCTCTATCACAATATAAAGGCGAGTAGGATCAAGATGGTGTGCTACTGCAAGTGATTTTATTTCAAAAACGTAGGCCCAGGATGAATTTGACTAAACTGTCAACGTCAAATTAGTAAAGCATCGGGTTGGCTTGTCAGAAAAGGCCACCTCCACCCACTAATAAGTCACCCCCTTAATTCCTGTCATACCATTGAAAACAAGCCAAGATTTTCGGAGAGGTCATGGAAAAGGCTTCACACCAGGAATTGTGTTATACAAACAAATACGTCAATCGCGTGACATACACGAGTGGCCAAGTGTAATAAGACGCCGAAGTCTGCAGGGCGTATGAATCAGCTCAAGTCACCTCACTCTAGGCGGGGACCAGATTAATTTCCAAGATGTTGGGCTAAAAAAACAGGTCTCCCGATTCATCCGTTCAGAAGGTTGAAAGCTAACGGGAAGTAATTAAAGCAGATGCCTCCGACCAAAGGAAATGAAATTAATCATTGGTGTGCCGGGCTCACGTCGATGCTGAACACGTAAGCTTCGCCGGGATCAATAACCAGGATTCTATGCACGGAGTCGGTAAGTCGGGAAAAGGGATGTATGAGTGGGACTTCGGACAGGAAATGAAAAATTCGGTCTAAAAACAACTACAGTTTATTAAAAATAGGTAATCTGAGTCAATAAAGGATTGTTTTTTAGTCACAGATCGACCAACGCTTTTGATGGAGATCCGTGACAAATGGTAGATGGTGCATGTCCACGCAACATGTGATGAGCTGAAAAAAAGACCAAAACAGTGCACTGGCACACGAGACAGCAACAAATAGCGCAGCCAGACAGGACGATGTGACGTCTTTATGATCTTCCCCCACTCCCCCCTCCCAACCCCGCTCATCTGCGCCTGGGAAAGGCGACGACTAGACCTTATGACCACATGAACAAAGCAAATAAAACTCCATTCACGTGACCCAGAATTAATTGAGACACGAGCGGACAACGCCCGCGACTACATCCCATTACCAACCATCAAATGCGTTTTTTCTGTATTAGAAGCTCAGGGCGAATGCAATAACTCAAAATCCGCGAGGAATGATAGCAAATCCCCACGCGCATCCCAGAGCCAGCGGCCTTGCTTGAGGCACTAAATTAAACAGTCATCGCGCAAAAAGTCCAAACAAGGCACCACACAGCTGACAGTCCGCCACTATAGCAAACAAAAAATGGGTTTGGGTCGAAAAATGCCGAAAGTAGGAGCCTGCCCCATGCTTCGGATGAATGCCACACCCCATCATGGGGAAAAAGTTGCAAAAAGTCATAACCGCAGAGGCAATACTAACGCCATGCGAATAGGTACTTGGACGCAATTTATTATTGATGTTGTAATGATTACATTTACTATATGCATCGTGAATGTACGCATTAGTGCATGTGTGTGTCGACTCATGCAAAAATACAGCAGTCAGTTGGGAAAAGAGCTACAGTAACGTGAATGGGAGATGGGGCGATCGGGACGAACGTGCACACGCGGAAATGGAGGAGACATACACACAGAATTACACTTGGATCAACACTCACAAACTCACATGCCGAGACCCATTATTAATAAGCACGGGAAATGGAAGAGTAGGTAAAGAGAGCGCGCACGCAATTTCAGTCGGTGAAGGAGTTTTTGTGAGGACTCAGAAGAGAAACTGCTTTAATAAACCGCATAACTTCGAATTTTGGACTGCAGACAGCAAGCGGTGATGATGGCAGCGATCTGAATGAGGCACAGGACGCCTGCCGTCGCAATTATGATATACATGGAGGACTCAACTTTGCCCGTGATTACGCTCCAACAGGACTAGACGGCAAAAAAAGCGAAGTCACACGTATGAAGCCTTACCTTTCGAAACACGTACAAGCCGCAGTTCACATCGGGCATCTTGAAACCGCAGCACTGAAGCTACAGAGGAGGATTGTAAAACAACAAAAAAGCGCCCACCTCTCGCTCAATCTGCTGTCTGAAAGTGGTGTCAGGATCGCTAAAAACCTCTTCAAAACGCTTTGAAAGGAAGTCCATCAACTAGAAGGGAAAGGGTATGTGCGTAGAGGAAGAAAGCACTTACCTCATCCTTGTACATAAAAGCAAACACAGCTACAGCAATCTGGAGGCACAAAAGAATTGCCACAATGACGGCGAACTAAAGTGGATAAACAAAAACAACAGGGAAAATTAATGTTTTAGAACAGTTTCGAAGTCTCAAATGTCCTTGTGGTTCAGGTATGATTTCGCATCACATCCATTATGATTACTCAGTTATTCAGCAGTAGTAAAACACATTCCATACTTAAACTCAGGACGCAGTTTTAGTTGGGTCGTTATTGTCTAAATGGATTTAGCTATCCAAAGTAGTGAGAAAGAATATCAAAATTGCCAAACAACGGAACCTGTATCGGATAAAACTCCAAATGCGTTAATGCAAATAACCAAATCACACTTCTAGATGAGGACAGACTATTTCATTTGTAAGATCCCGATGGTGAAAGATTGAGAAGTTGGCTACGGGTGCAAGACATCTCACAAAAATATGAGACAAATGGGGTACCCGAGGTATTTATAGTGTCTCCAAGCCCACAAAGTAAAAGCCACTACCTCAGATTAAACAAAGAACTTTTCACAAAAATGCGAAACGATGGAGGCTACTTTGTTGGCTTTCACGACGAAATCAAACTAGACGCTAATTTTGTTCTAAATTAAAACTTTAACAGTTTCACTGAAGAAGGGCTATCAAATAGTTATTCGAATCTCAGTTTCAGTAGAAGCGAGAAGTACAACCCCTTTCAAAGATAAAACGATAACAATGAGCTACACTGAACGTACCGTAATGAGCATACAAGGACTTTCGTAGCAGGCCCCGCAGCACCCGAGAAAACCAACGACAAAAATGATAAATCCCAGCACAATGACGGCGATGGAGAAAACTTTGACCACATCCCCAAACTGGTTGCTGTAGAAACTCAGTTGATACAGCAAATACCCACCGAAGCCAGCCAAAAATAGACCAAAAACCTGAAAAAGGGAAGCAAATTAAGCACCAAAGCGTGGAACCTACCTAGGATTCAAGGGAAAATAACTTAATCGAAGCACATAAAACACAATGTAACTACATGCACCGTGCGCTTGAACTCGTACATCAATTATTACCATACAACAGAAAAGAAGTCTCGAAGCCAGTATATGATGCCTACTAGGGGTTACTACTACTACTGAGCAAAGGCCATTTAATTTGAGGAGAGCTATTATGCTGCTAAAAGGGTAACGATAGAATTCCAAGTAAAATCAACGGACAGGCAAGGTTGACCTGCCGGCAACACGACATTAGGCGCATGCGTATCTGACAAAAACTCACGAATACTATAAAGTTGAAGAAAAATGTGCAATATTTCACACACTTCATTCCACCTTGAAGAACACCCATTTCCCAAAACCGATGTCAAAAGAACAAACGATAAGTCGACGGTTGAAAATGGCGCCTCTCAGGCAGTATGAATTAATACGAGGGGGTTAAAAGAAAGAGGGGTGTAATAGCCTATATTTAAAAACGCAATTAACTGCCTATTTTTCAATTAAAAACCACATATAAAGTAAACTTTTTTATTTATTTTAAATTTAAAGTGATTTTAAAGAATGCCAGAACCAAAACTAAGGGACAAAATATTACAAATACATAGAGCCAGGATTTCTCAGCACACACAGACCTGAAAGAGAAAAATGAGGTCGTGAGTAAAAAACGCAATCCTATTTTTAACCAAAACAATGCGATGATTTCAAATTGTGCTTTTAATTTCTATCTTAAACGTATCTGATGGTCCAAATTGTGGAAATTTCGATTTTAACATAAATTCCTCTCCAAAAGATTGCTTTAAGTGCCTTGCAGTTAGCATTGCTTTTACAGCTAATTTAGACTAGTGTGCGTTATAAAGATATTTAGAGGGAGCTAAAAAATGTTGATTCACATGATCAGAGGGAAAGTTACACAAACTGCATCAAGAAAACTCATTATGCTTGCCCTGATAATGGAAAGCAATGCGTTGCTTGTGTGTAATTCTTCGTTTTGGTGGTAGTCTGCTTGAGGTCTCCTCCGTTGTACTTTCTCTGGCCGGCCTCCCCTTGGGCCCTGCTGGTAGCTCCAAGTACTTCTCTATGTCAATGACACATATTCTGGTTAAGTATTGCTACTTTTATAATCTTTAAGGGAGTCTTGAAGCACTTCATTAGCTTTGGAAAAAAGTAAACCCAATCTAAGAAGACAGCTACTCCAATTTTAACTGCCGGTTGATAAACTCCAGCTTACTGGAAGAAGGGCACATGCTGCGGTGGCAAAATCTGCAAATGCTCTCAACACGAGAGATGTAGATAACGTCTGCATTTGGCAATTACCACTGCCTGTGTTCTACACGAGAGCTATTCACAAATGAAGAGCCACTGATCGTGTTATTATGCCATCTGAGAAAGTTCTTTACGGAGGTGTCTACCGTACGTATATGAAGACATGAAATATATGAACTCGCTAGACCTCCTCCACCTCTCTACTAGCCAGACTGAATCTAGACATGAATGAAGTAGAAGAAATCAGCAAGGAGGAATCGACATAAAATCCTACCCCAAAAAGTTATATTAAACCTCATCCTTTGCTACATGAAATGGCTTTCAGATGCCTAGACCTACGACAGCTCAAAAAATGAGCAGTTCTTAAACAAAAGGAAACTTTAGCTACAGTAAAATTGCTAAAAGGAACAAGTAACTTTGGGGTCAGATATTTTCTCAATTATACGGAAGTCCAATGACTGGCGTGGTTTGTTCGTGGAAGTTTACTACAGCTCCGATTCAACTGTGATGATTGACGCAGGAATTTAACTATGAAAAGTGGTGTTGACAAAGTTCAACAAAGAAAAGGGGTATGTACGATGTTAATCGTTTATTTAACTCTCTGTTTTGGCAACAAAGAGCTTAGAGGCTCCGCCATTGTAACTCTTCTGTGTGATCTGGCCTCTGAGCTACGAAACTGTATATCGCGAGTACATACTCTGTCCAAGTATTCACTTCATTGAAAACTTCAGGCAGGTACATAGGTAACAACCAAGTGTATATATAATAATTAAAATTAACGCACTGCATTCATTAAAGCGTAGGGCACCGACACTTTTCTGGGAACAAAAGATGACATGATGCACGAACAGAATATATGTATATTTGACATACGGTAGAGCTAGGGTCTGCTGGCATAGTCGGAAAGCCGGCCCACTCGGTGAAAGAACATAATCGGTGACACGAAGTAGGCCTTTACTAAAACTCAAAGTTAAACAACATACACATTACATGGTCACTCTAGTTTTTAAGCGTCGTTCTTGACGATCCTATAATCAATCTTTCACATCAGCCGTCCCAACGTAATTACAGCTGTAAGAAAACCCCCACAAGCTAATCACATCGGTCATCAAATTTTCACGTAACTAAGAAGCTATTAAGTTGCAACGTCACTGGTACCTCTTAGCGATTTTACTGAATCAGGAGTTTCGTCCGACTTTAGCACTGTGATGGGTAATTGGCAAATGTGCACATCACTAGTCGTAAGAACACCGGCCTGAATGCAGTCGTACAGCAAATGGTAAGATTGAATATAGTTCCATAAAAAAAAGGTTTCGCATCTATTCCTTTAGAGCTACCCAGCCACACCAACGTGGTGTCCAATGAACCAGTAGAACAATGTGAGAGGTATCGTGCATTTGCTTCATTGTCGTCTTCAAACAGGCGGTGTAAAGAGCTCTGTAACGAAAATTGCAGATGGTTCACGGCTACTGATAGTGTCGCTTCATTTGTGAAAATGGGATTCTATCAGAACGTAGGACTGTAATACTTACGTTGTTTTAGTGCACCTTTCAGGGATGAGGCAACCTGGAAATTTGAATCTGGCGGGAGGGTCGTCACCTTCAGTGCCTAGTTGTAGTTGCGGTTCTTCCCCTCCCTAAACGTTGTACTTTTTTCCCTGATCTTTTCCTCTTAATAAATATGTCAAAATTAAATCAACCGGACTGTTCTAAGAACACTAGGATCAGGGAAGAGGAGACCAGTGAGTCTCGCTCTACGGGACTAAGGTAGTCGCCAGATGTAGATATCATTTTCAGCGCTTTTGCTATGCGTCACTATCGTTTCTCTCATCCGAGTCTTATGCAATTCTTCTGCCCAGTTAAGGTTTAGAACTCAGTAATAGAAATTAGAATAGGTCTTTTAAGAATACGACTCGCTTTCCACCGCCACGATGCAGCGTCTTGGGACTTTTGTTAAGACGAAAGAATACGTAGTACTCGGGAATACTATTCTACGTAGAGCGGGGGCATGGGAACACCGGCATGGTCAGGGGGACAGCCCAGCAAGCAAACAGGCAATGGCGGAGACCTAGAGTATCTCTTTGCCACAGCTAAAAGTTATTTGAGTAGTGTAGTACAAATGCTTTCCTAAAGAGCGTTTATAAAGCTTTTATCACCCTAAATACAGTAGTTATCACGAATTATTTATTGCATAAAAATTTGGCTCAACACATACTTCCAAATGTTATTTCAGTTAAGTAAAATAAATTATAGGTAGCAAAAAATTTTTTAAAGGAACAACGACTGCGTGAAGTTAAGTGTTTTTTTAAATTTCAAGATAATGATTACGTTAACTATGTCTATTTGGCAAAATTTTCTAATCGAGCTTATATTTAATCACGATATACAACTTTTGGACTTGTGACGCAAATAACGGTGGCCATTGTTAGTGCATTATTATAGTTATTGCGGTTGTTTCTATAATCTAATTTGGCTTTACACCGCCAGCGGCACGTTTTCAATTGCTGCGCGTGCAGGTATTATGGGTTGCGCACGTGGAGATGAGAAACGTTGTTGAGTTTATAAGGCAAAGCGAAGTACGAGGTTTTCAACGCCGTATTGTTGCTGATTTCTCTGATAAACTATCTTTTGACAACGTGAAACTTATTAACCCTGATTCACCTGTTTCAAGTCGGTCAGTATTTTTATTAAAAATAAATTGTGACAACACCGTAATCGCTGCCGCACACATGGAAGGGGTTGTTGTTTTGTACAATGGCTCTTCAGGAGCGTGTATTGGACAATGCGAAGGCCATGAAAAGTCTCCTTGGACAATTACGGTTAGCCCGTCCCCGATATATTTCGCTTTGTCATCTTGTTACCCTATTAAACGTTTACGAACTAGCCCTTATGTTTATTAAATATTGTCTTCTCCTTTTAGTTTCATCCGTCTATTCCTCACCTGTTGGCCAGTGGCTGCCTTGGTGGCCGCGTGTGCTTATGGTCAATTTTAGAAAATTTTTCAAAAACTTCAGGATGCCACAGTATCGTTAAGCCTAGTTCTACCTGGGAGCGACTTGGAGCTATTACTTCTCTCGCATTCCACCCGTATCGTTCGATCCTCACCGTTGCTTGGTAATTTTTATGTTTTCACTTTACTATAACGCATGAACCATTGATTCATCATTGTCAGTAAGTAATATATGCTCATAATTTATTTGAATCATTGTTAAATAAAGTTTGTTTTCTGTTATTATTAACTAACTATTGGCAGATGTTTTGCAGGGCCCAAGAAATTGCTTTTCTTGACTTTAAAGAAGATCGCGTCCTTTCTGTTTGGCGATTTGCCTCTGATGGCTCCGGTGTTCGATGGGTACACTTTAATCCTGATGGATCAATTTTCTACACAGCATCCTCAAACCATCGTCCTCTTGAAAGTAATTGCTTGCGGCTACCCCCTATATCAAACACCATAGAATTTTCCCCTCTACACGGGATTCCAGGTGTGTTAGAACTTAATCCACGTCCTTCGTTTTTTAATTCCCCACTTTATGAATTTCCGTTTTGTTGCTCAGGCATAAATCCTGCTAAAATACTTCGTGGTGAGCTAGTGTATTTTCTTCTTGGACAATCGGCAGAGTGGTATGAGGGTCATGGAATTTGTCACACCTGTTCTCTACGATTGTGCGTATGGGCCGCTGGTTTGGTTGCTGATTCGAGTTTTCCCCATCGGAGAGTCCCCCTTTCCGAGGCCGTAGATCGTATTTTGACCGACGTTGCCTTGACCGTCCCCAATGGCTCCGCGAAAGTTGAGGATATAATGGCTTTACGCCGCGAGGACCCATCACCCAATGCTGTAGTAGTGATTGAAGACTTTCCTTCCAGTGAATGGTTCCTCTCCAAAGGCCCCTGCAACGTGTACTGCTCTGCGGCGCAACCCTCGATGATGTGTTGTCTGGGGCACATTGGCGATCTCTTTCTGACTCATCGAGACCTTATGCGCTACTCCCTCTGTCGTCGATGCCTTCAGAAATTTTGGCGTTGGGCTAATGATAGCAATCGGGTGCAGTGGTTCACCTGGACCCAGTCCAGTCCAAATCCCCGTGAAAGTAGAAAAAGTGCTCCTCCTCAGGTAGATCATCATCTCATTATCATTATTTTAAGTCTGGGGATGAAAAACGTATTTACCCCATTTCATCACATCCCAGATACCAGACCCGGGGGTGGTTCGCTCTGCGAGAGTGTGCTATCGATGCTGCCAAGGTCCGGATCAGTGCTCAACGCATCCAAATGCGGTCTCCGTGCGAAACGAACTGTCTCCATCCAGTTCACTCAAACGGCAATCGCTCACCCCCATCAGTCGATCCTCTGTGGCCCCAACTGTATCCCTCCACTTCGACGCGACTGCTACTGCTGAGGCGGGTGAATGCAAAAAGAAATATTCTGTACGTACTATATTCATTCATGCTCGATTTCAGAACTTGTTATTTGCGAGTGAATGTTAACGCAACTTGAATGACGGCATTCGGAATGCAATGTCTGAGGGGGAGCTTGATTTGAGGAGCGTAAGAATGCGACAAACAACGGCTTTCGTTTGTATTTCTACTGTCTCTACTCTAGTTAGCAGTGTGTGCGCAAATAGTGATGTAAGCCTCATTCGTGCGGTGACCTCAACCTCTTACGCATATATATGCGAGTGTGCGCATGTGTGTGCGCGTAGGAGCTCCTTCGACCGGCATATGGCCTATCGACTGCGTACAAGTGGACGTCGGCCGTTGATGACTCACTGTGGGTCATGTGTAATCGCTGTTTCCAAATTGGTTTGAATCATCGTCGTCATAACCGCGATTTAGTTTGCGGGCATCGTGATTCCCCTCAACCCTTGAATCGCAACGCTTTGTTTGCTCCCTCTCCCTCTCTCTCTTGTGTCTAGGCCTTTTGAATAGCTCTATCATATCCATTGAACCACCAATTTCTCATCATTAACGTTTATCTTTCTTTTTGGGCGCTTAGGAAGGATACATTTGTAGCAACGACAACAGCGGGCTTTCCGGAGTCGGAAACTATTCAGGCCCTAACTATCTGTCGAAACAATCCCTTGTTAAGAGTCTTCCATCAGCCCTTGCTTTGGCTTCAGAAAAAAACCAACCACGCAACAACGGTGAGTTGTTCTTACACTGTACTTGCTTTCATAACAAATGTGAGCTAATTTTTAAGATCCTAGACGTGCAGATATCCTATGTTTAAGCCGTTTACCATTTTGACTGTCCTTGCACCCGACCTAGGGGGACTCGTTGATAGGCTCATTAAATTTGATCCACATTAATGTGTGCCCGTATTTGAGCGCCACCGTCAGGTGAGCTGATATTTGAAATTACGTAGTGGCGTTCATGGTGATAATGATTGTCCTCCACGTTGGAAAGCTTCTTTGTCACATTATTGCTGCATCTAGTTCAAACTTCAAGGAATTATCAGTTCGTTCGTCACTCTTGGCTTGGATGTCTCCTGGGCTCGCATGATTTCCTTACAATTGCTATACCTTAAAAATCTTGTTAACTGAGGAGTCACTGTGGTGATAGGAAGGGTCCAATTAATTTTACATTAACCACGCACTGTGAGTGCGGACGAGTGCACGTGCATGAAGAGCGGTTTGACCCCGCACATATTTGACTAACCAATAGGGTGAGGCACTTATGTTAGGTCACCGGATTATCTGTCAATCATGGCTTCGCATTGTCAGCCATCACGACGGTGGTGTTTTTTACGCATTTTACGTGTCTAACTGCCTCCTACGATTGTGGCGAGATTTTCACCAGCGATCACGAGCTTTTGATATGTCATTATTTTCGTGATGCATTCAACAAAGTCGGTCGTTGGTACTAGGCGCAAGTGTGGAATATCATTTGGTCCAGATGGCCCCTCATTTTCATTCCTCTTATCCCAGTTCACATCTCCAATAGCAAAGGTCCCCATTAATTACTCCTTTAATTCGCACCTTTTAGTGCACGTGCGGACACATGTGCAAGCATTGAGAGACGGGTTTTCTGATGTGAATCCGGCCATTCGTCGTCAATGTCTTGCGCTTTGTCTTCACTCCATGTCCTCCTTCATCCGGTGGTTGGCATTATCACCCTTTGTCATTATGCACGTGGTAAACAAATCTGAAAATATAGAGCATTTACGCTTGAGTGAGGCCGTGTTCATTTCTTCTCTTTTAAAAGTCCGATATTCCTCCAAAAGACATAAATAATTTTATACCGGCTCCACAGGTTTAACTACTTTTCATAACTAGCTAGACTAGTTAAACTAATGTAGCAGTGCAATTTCCTTAACCTGATCAAAAGCGCCACCTCCGAGATGGATGTGGATGCTGCTCAATGAATTACCACTTAATCTAAAGAAGCTCTTCCGCTTCGACTTGGCTCGAAAGCTATGTTCTCGGTGTCATGTATTGCTCCCAAGTCAGTTGTCAGCACGATAGTGAGTTCGGCTAACTTCTAAGTCACGTGCCACCTTATTTCCCAACCCCTTACTACTAATAGTTATATATGAATAAATGGGGAGATAAGGGTTACCTTCATGTTCTAATTTGTCTGGTGACGGCGGCTGCTCTTATTCTACGTGCTTTCTAGAGTACTGGATCAGCATTACCTACCATCCTGTGAACTGAAGTAGCTGTGCACACAAATTGTCAAACAAGTCCGCTGCTTCCCAAGTAATTTGGCGCAGATTTGATGGGACGACTGTCAAAGCCATTTCGCTTTGATCAAGTCCATGCCAGGTCCTTTTTTCGAGCTGACATCTGTCTGATCGATTTCAGGTCCCAGACCTTTAAAGGTCGCATTTTTACTTACGTGTAGTCTCACTTGTGTGGCTCTCGAAAAAAAGGAGGTAGAACACGAGCTAGATTGTGGGTTCACTGCCTTCTGGGGCAATGCCGACAGAAGGGTTGCTTGTCCTTTCGCTAATGAGACTTCGGCGTAAACTAGATATTTCGGTGCTCTACCATGAAAGTTGCACTGATTGTCCTTATGCCGATGCTGTTTTTCATCCATTTTATTGTTATAAACAAAACCAATCAGTTTTCGCCTCGAGTTGATGAAACCATCATGAGTTGATAAGGGAAACAAATTACACGCTCCTGGCACTGCTAGCGGGCACAGTGGTTACGCCGTGGTTATGTTTTTCGGGTCTGCTTCTCAGTTGTGGCGGTGCTGGGTTGGAAATTTTTTTCGTTTATAAGTGATATAAGTTAGAGAAAGTTAATTTTTTGCTATCTTTCTGCCCACAGATCTGGAAGCCTCTTGTAAATGTGGCGATATCGCCCTACAAGCAGCACCAATGGATGAGATGGCAGAGAAGGAGCTTCGCGTTCTCTACTCCCATCTCTTCTCCTCCGAAAAGAACACAACCTCCCTCCCCTTCTCCCTCCAGCACTTCGCTAGCACCCTCGCCAACATCTTTCAGGAGATGGGCGAGCATAGCTCGGCGTGCAATCTTCGTGTAAGTTCTTTAACTTATTTACTCTTTGTCGTTGTCAATCACGAGTAGACCTTTCCAGATCTCCCTCCAGCTCTTTATAAGTAAAATTTGATGGGGTTGTTTTTATTATAAAAACGCAAAATTTTAAGCACCATTTCTGCTCTGCTTGGCCTTACGTGTTTAAACTGGACCTAAATGATCTCTTCACAAATCCTTGTTATTTTGAGTCCGGAAAGCACACTGCACCACTGCTGACCGCGTGTTTTTAAGGCTGTAAAAAACTGTGAAGTTGGTAGATGAAAGGT